AACACTCCCTCCCAGATTAGTGTCATCTGCAGACTTGCTGGGTCCTGTTCCCAAAGCAGGAGGATACAAGGGGCCTGACAGCAGAGTTCACCATAGGCACAATTTGAGCAGGAGGTGTCCCAAGGTTGCAAGTGTAGAAAGACAAAGCAGGGGAGTAGTTGCCTCTCTAGAACTCAGACCCTCTCCTGTTTGGCTCAAAAGAATAAAAAGCAGACACCTGAAGCAGTGGTTGGGCAGCTGAGATGGATTTAGGAGGCAAGCTACTTACTGTCTAGGGGCTGCCTGACCCTTGAGGTAAAGGAATGTGGCTGCGCTTCCATTTTGACCAAAATTTTCTTTGGATGCCTCAGCATGTTTGTGCTGTGGGAATTTACTTAAACACACAGGAAAAGGATGAACTGAACTTGGAGTCTGTAGTAAACAGCAGAATCTTTTAAAAATGTTTGGTGGCTTTTCTTGTACAGATTTCAAATGAAGGAGAACCCACCACATCCTTAAGTAAATTGTTCTGGTGGTTACTTACCCTGGTTTTATTTTGTCTATTTTTAACTTGCAACCATTGGCTCTCAGCCTGCTTTTGCTGGCAAAAATAAGAGTCCTGCCTTCTCAGAAACTTTTCTGCTTCTACACTGTGATTAAACCACTCTCTTAATCTTTGCTTCAGTAAACCAAGTTGGCTGAACTTCTCAGTGCCTTCCCTGTGAGACCCAGGGTGATTTTCGTAGCTGTCTTCCAAGCCTTTCTTTCTTTGCCAGTCGTCTTTTGGAGGTACAGAAACTGGAACTGGATGCAGGCTTTCCATCAAACTCCATAATGAATGGTACCAATTTCCTGCTTTTGGACGAGTCTTCTTTGTTTATGAGTCTTGTGATCATATTGGCCCTCTTAGCCAGCAGATGGGGAGCCAGTGTTCATTAAGACTTTGGTATCATGCTAAAAGTCAGTTCAAATTATTGGTGTCCAGGATAAAAGTCCAGTGAAGAAAGCATCGCTTGCATTTTGTTCCCGAGTTCACTACCCTGAAATGAGTCAGCCCTGAAAACTTCAGATTATTTTAGGAAACTTTTTTTTCCCCATTTAATTTATTTTATTGCTGGTGATTCTGCTGTCTCTTTCAGATCATTGAAAATGGTAGCAAATAACCACGAGCTAGGAATAAATTCCTGCAACACCTACAGGAGAATTTGTGCCCTACAATTTGTAAGACTTACTAGTTGACAATTTTCAGTCAAATTAATATATTTCATGAGTTCATGCTGTGCTAATTGGAGTCTGATGTTATAACGAGTTAATCAGACTCCTTATAAAAATCTGCCATGTAAACACAGCCATCCTCATCAACCAAACACATAAGCTCATAAAAAATAGCTGCTTCATTTAGTATTTCATTATAAAGCTGCATTGATTAGCATGAATTATTCTTCACTCTTTATTGAATGTTACCTGTTTCAGCTTTGCATTTATTTTGTGCAGGCTGGTTTTGTCTGTAAATACTCTTTTGTATCTTCATACCTGTTAGTTTTATTCCAGTTTTCTGAGCTTGCCCAGTATCCAAGGAAGTATTAAAAATAAACGTTAGCGAGTATTGCAACTGCATTGCAAATTACTTAGGCTTGCATGTTGTAAAATTGGACATTAGTAGGTGGTGTTTGGAATAGAAAGTGTCTCTATCAGTCCAAGATGTGAACATATCCAATTGCTGTCCAAATACGGCACAAATTGTATATTGCAGGCACCAGGCTTTCCTGCCTTGTTATGGATGACTATTCCTCCTTATTGAATAACGTTGTCTAAGCTTCATCTGTGCCTAATTAGATGCAAATACCCTCCTTTTGTCTTTTACTGCTCATCAGGCTTGTCGTCCTCATTACTGCTTCACTGCTATTCACTGCAAGACCTCACAGAGGCCAAGCAATTAATAGGGTTCAAAGCTGCACTTGGTTTGGAAGCTGCTGTTGTCACAGTTGTGAATACTCCACTGTCACGAGGAAATAATTTCTAAAGTCACTAGGGAGGGTTGGACCACCATGGCTATGAAGTGGAGTAGTCTGAGGGATACTGAAGGCTTTGAGGGTCACCTTATTCCTTCTGATTCCTGGTCACTGCCAACAGTACCAAAATACAATCCAGATCTTCAGGACTGCGTGGCACAATTTAGTATATCGTGTTGGTTTGGTTAAAAAACACACAGGGCAAGATTTGCATTGAAGAAAGACAGTGGAACAGCTTAAATGATCCTTACAAGCCTTGTAGGTCATCAGTTGTCTTCAAGGAGCAACAGCAGAAGAGCTGCTGTATGGCAGGGGGGTATCTTCAGCTTGCACATATTGCCTGGTCATTCTTTTTGGAAGAAATCAGCTTCAACTGCAGGTGCTGAAGGCTTTCTGAAAGAGGCTGGAGCCCAGGTGGGGTTTTTCTTTCCCCTCTTAGGATGTATGCTCAAGGAGAATTTGCCTGTTTGACTTTTATATGGGCCTTTTGAAGAGTGTGCCGAAATTTGGCAATCAATGTAGCCTTTGCCTGTGAAGCTAAGCACTATTTCAGAGTCACTTTTCACACAAATGTTCTTATTGCACACTACAAGTGGATGAAGCTCTACTGGAACAAGTCACTCATTCTGGGTTAGGAGAGAGATATTAGAAATAGAAAATCTTCATGAACTGAAAATCCATGAAGTTTGATTTTAGGTTTCAGTAAATCTCCCTCCTGTCTGACTGATCTGTTTTCTTTTTCCTAGGTGCACTGTAACAACATGTTTTCCAAGGGGGTGAAGATCTTCCAGAAGGTGGAGTGTCTGTTCAAACCACGCCTGATTGCAGACTGGGAGTCTGAACCCGTTGGAGTGGCAACTGTCTTAGATGACAAAAACCCCAGCGCTAGGTTTGTGACTGTCCCCCTCAACCAGCGCGTAGGTAAAGCCATACTTTGCCGCTTCTACTTTGCTGACACCTGGATGATGATGAGCGAGATTTCCTTCCAGTCTGGTGAGTGTTCCTCCAAGTCAAGCAGATCTGGGGAACCACAGAAAGCAAAGGAGATGGGTGGGGAGGCGCAGGACATGCGGAGTTAGGTTAATATCACAGTAGGGTACTGTGGGGCTATGTGATAGGAAGGAGGAGGTTGCAGAAGCACTGAGAGGATTGGAAGGACAGTGGTTGGTTTTTAGGCTGATACTGATGTACATGTGCAGAAGCACTACCAGGGCAATGAAAAATTAGACTATAGAGCATTTCTTCTTTTTGAGACAGGAAGGACAGGTACAGAAAGGTCCAACCTGCAGTGGTTGGTTTTCAGGCTGATACTGACGTACATGTGCAGAAGCACTACCAGGGCAATGAAAAATTAGACTATAGAGCGTTTCTTCTTTTTGAGACAGCTGCTGCTTATGGGATTGATTTCTTACTTCTCTTTACCAAGTATTTTGTTATGAATAATTTAGGTATATCTACAGATGAGGATTAAGTTAGCAGATGATGAAAAATGAGAGGCTGACTTTTTTCATCAAGTCTTAACTATGACACCTATAGAGCATTTCTTCTTTTTGAGACAGCTGCCTGCTGCTTATGGGATTGATTTCTTACTTCTCTTTACCAAGTATTTTGTTATGAATAATTTAGGTATATCTACAGATGAGGATCAAGTTAGCAGATGATGAAAAATGAGAGGCTGACTTTTTTCATCAAGTCTTAACTATGACACAGAAGTCAGTGCCATGAGGTGCTTTAAAAGGCCCCAGAAGGGAAGGAACAGAGTCTTGGAGGAAATTGCTGGCACTGACAGTGAAATGATCTGGCTATGGCTTCCTACTCAGTGGTCCCTACTCAGCCGTAGCGAGAGGACATTCTTGGGGAAAGGAGCACTTTGATTGCAGCTCGCTGCTTATTGCTGATAGCAGCCCCTCCTGGCCACCCTTCCCTGTCATACATGAGAGTAGGCAGGCTCTTGGACTGGGCTGGGATGACTATTCTGATAATCATGCTAAAATGGGAAAAAGCAAAGCTCTTGCTGCAGCTCTTTCTGGCTGGCTGGGCTCGGGGAAGAGTCCTGCATGCACTGGCAGTTTGCTGTGGTCAGGAAGTACGCGCTGCTCAATGGAGAGGCTCGTTGGTGTGGGTGTGCTGGGAAGCGCTGAGTGAGCAGGTATCTCTGCTCGTGCTGTTCATGACGCTGGGAAGGCAGGGGTGGTGGTTGTGATTGCACTGACCAGTGACAGGAGTAGGGGGGTTGTTGGACTGACTGCTTCCCTTCCCTTCCACAGACATGGAGAGCGTGAATCCTAATTTTGTAACGGCAGCCACGAGCACAACGGATCTCCTGGAAACAGAGTGCAATGTTACTGAGGGGACCTGGGGTAAGGACTTCTGTCACTGAGCCATGCCAAGGGCTCAAGTGTCAGGGGATTTCGCAGTAACATCCTGGTTAACGTCATCACTCTCTCAGGTTCTGGAGATCTGGGTATGGCATCTTACAGTCCTCTAAGCCTCAGCTATTTCTTCTTCTCTCAGCTGGCTGAGGCTGTGTCAGAGTAAGTGGGCTGAAGGCATATGTGCAGCCAGCGAAGCTCTGAAAACTGGCTGCTCTGTGATGGATCCATTGCAGGAATCTGATCCAGTGCTAAGAGCAGTCTTTGATTGCAGAAGTTCTCTGCACAGCTCTTAGCTCTGAGCCTCCAAAATGAGAGTTTCTGATAAGAGCAAAATGTGAACACAGCTAATGTTAATGCTCAGGAAGCTGCCTGGGGTCTTTTCTGTATCAGACTGTAGAAAGGGACATGTAGGAAGTTAGCCAGCTCAGATAACAATCTGTGCTTTATTAACTCCATATTCTTCATACCTCTGTGATTGCAGAAACCACATCATCTGTAACCAGCACCTGGATAGGAGAGAAAGCAGATGACTCCAATACCTCCATCCTCGTGGGCTGCCTTGTTGCTATTATTCTTCTGCTCCTGATGATCATAATCATTATTCTTTGGAAGCAGTATGTCCAAAAAAGGTTGGAAAAGGTAATACAATGGGGCTGTTTTGCAGACACAAGTTCAATATTGAGTATTAACCCTGATGATCTCTGAGTGGAGAGCACAGGGTTTCCCTAGCTCCACAGAGCAGCTACAGCTCTGTTCGTGCAGCAGGGGAGGATGCCAGCACTATCCAAGATGTTACTGGAAATTGCTGTGGTTGCAGCCAGTACGTTACTTAACTGAGCATTGCCTCAGCGTTTTTTATTCTCTTTTGCAGGCCCCACGTCGAATCCTGGAGGAGGATGCCACAGTTCGCCTCTCTTTCTACAGCTACACCATTGCCAACAACCAGACCCAGATCCACCAGTCAAATCCCACCTATGAACGTGCTTTCCCACTGGATTTGGAATATCACCAGCCAGCTACGCTGCTCCAAAAGCTTCCAGAGCTCTCCCAAAGCGCAGAGGATTCAGGTAATGTAATCGTCAGTCTCCAGAAGTTACACACTTACTCTTTTTACTGTTTCCATCAGATTTTAAAATATGCCACTTCTCAGTGTCGCAAATAATCTTTTCTGACTCCTGTGCAGTACAGCACTAACCCAGAGACCTAAGTCAATATTCTGGAGCTCTGAAACTTTTTAACACATTACTTTGGTAGATGGAGCACCAGCCTCACTGGAGAGTGGTGGCCTTTTATTCTTCTCTTTGAAGACTGGTTATAGGTTAGAGTGGTCATCTTTTAGGAGCTGTTTTTGGCAATGACACATCATTTGTCTCATCAGCCCTTTGGCAGAGGAGTCGCTGAGCTGTCCAGACTGGCTGGTGGAGAAGACCTTTAGCACCTCTTCCTGCAGTAAGGGCTCTTTGAAATTCCCTCAGAAAAAGCAGAGGGAATTGCAGCAAAGAATTGTCAGTGGTGCACTGGCTCCCAGCCCCTGGGGAGCTTTTGGATGCATGCAGGAGGAAACATTTTCAACAGTGTTTTGTACACAGCAATGGCAGTGCTCACAGTGAATGGAAGGGCAGTGCTGCATTCCTCAAGCACTGACAAGTTGCTAAGGTCCAGTGTTACAGTACGATGGGAGATTAATTTGGGTTGAGTCAGGATGTAAATATGAAGCAGAATGAATGTTGTACTATACAGGGAGTTAATTGTAAATAATTATCCCATTATTATTTATGTGAATAAGCTGTAAGAGGTAGCATAGCACGCTAACAGATTACGTGAAAAATAGAAACCTCAATCAGTTCTTGTTGCAGAAGGGAATCCAGAGCAAGTCTGATGTTGCAGACAAAATGCCTGTGTCAGGTAAGGGGAATGGATCATATTTAGGATGAATCAGAAACAGAAAATCACTTCAGACTCATTCCTCTGTGTCTGGGCAAGAACTTTAGCTCTCAGCTGGACAGTGCAGGCAGCTGTTTAACATGAATTCACTGCACATCACAGGTATTCTGGTGTCTGCAGAAGTGCAGCTTGTTCTGGTTTAAGCCCTGATTAAAACAATGCAGATTCTTCTGTCTGTCTGTGCCTTGGTACAAGGCTGTAGGTATGCAGCTGGGCTGAATTCCTGGAGGTCTGCAGGGCTGAGAGGAGTGGAAGCCAGGCCGTACTGGTTTTGTGGGAGTTGAGTGTACCTGACTCCAGCTGTCTTTGGTTTCCCTTAGTGTGCAGTGGGGACTATGCTGAGCCTGACCTGACCAAGTCCACTCCTCACCAAGGCTTTCAGAACAATGTTCCTCACTACGCCGAAACCGATATCGTCCACCTGCAAGGTGTGACTGGCAACAACATGTATGCAGTCCCAGCCCTCACTGTGGATTCACTTACCAAGAAGGACATCTCAGTGGGTGAATTCCCACGGCAGCAGCTGCGACTCAAGGAGAAGCTGGGAGAAGGACAGTTTGGAGAGGTACAGCCGTTCTCTTCCACGCTTCCTCCTACAGAAAGTAGACGCCTGGCACAGTGAAACTTCTGAGCTCCCTCTCTGGCACTGCTTCATACTTGGAGGTTGAGGGACCTGTGAACCAGTATTTGATTTAATACTTTGTTGGGGGAAGCTGGTGTGGTGGCTTCAGAGAGCCCCATTCTACACCTGCGAAGCTGCTGCTTAGTACAGGAGCCTTTCTCAATAGATGAGCTTTGCAAGCTTTGTCTGTTCACTGTCTGTCCTCATTTATGACCCTACAGAACAGACCTGGGGAGGGAACTGAGACTTTCATGGTTGTCTGTGGACCTCTAGAACATGCAGTGGCTGTCACCCACCTTCAGGCATGTGGGTTTGAAAACTAACAGAGACTCCAGCCAAGACAGATTGATCCTAGCTGTAAAAAGAGCTGTTGTGTTAACAGGTGGAGGTTCTGGTGGGGCTCTGCATGCTGGCCCAAGCAGAGGCAGATGTTTCCCGAGCACTGTGGTACCCTCACATATTCTCTAGCATTGCAGCTTGCTCAAGCTCCAGTTTGTCAGAAGCCTCAGGCAGAGCATGATGCATACCTCTGTCATCTGCCAGGCTTTCCCTTTACTCCCTGAGTTGCTTTGAGCTGTGACTGTTTTCACCTCGCCTTTTCTCCCTGCTTTGTTTCCACACCATCCCTAGGTCCGTACTGAGCCAGGTCTTCCCCTCACCTACTCCCACTCTCCCACTGTCTCTTTCCTTCCCAGCATTTGCTCATTCACAGCCTTAAATTCTACCTGTCTGCTACGTGTTGGCAAAGCCCAGCCCTTTACTGATGGCGTCCTCATCTGTGATGGGCCCATCTTCACAGTTCCTCCTTTCCTACCCCAGCCCCTTCCCCCTCACTTCTTTCTGGAGAGCTGCTGAAATCCTCTGCCTCTTCCCTTGCTGCTGGTGCAGTCCCTTCTGGTGCTGACTGAAACCTGCCCTGTCTTGGGCTGTGCTCCACAAGTGAATCAGAGGCTTTTTTTCCCATTGTTTTGCTTCTGGTTTTTCCTTCCCTCTCATTCCTGTCCTTCTAGTAACTGGCAAAGCTTTCTCCTCCTCATCCTCCTCCTTTGTGTTATCAAACAGCAGCAGCCAGGGTCTCCATATCTGTTTTACTTGGAGATTGATTCAGAGCCTGTTCCTTTCCTCCCATCACAGGCCCTTTCCCTTGCACACCTCTGCAAATGTGCTGCAGCACATTCTTCCCTCTCTCCTTCTCACCTCCTTAGTCTTTACCAAACTGGTCATCGTCATCTGCACCACTTCTCTGGCTTAGTGCACAGCCTTGCATCTAGTGACGTGGCTCGTTGCTTTTTTCCACCTCTCCACTCAAGGCTTCTTTCCCTTTCAAGGTTTTTTCTTCCTTGCTCCTAACCATTCACTCCCTTGACACAGCAACACGTTACCTGTGCTGGTAATACATGTGCTTAACACCACAGCCATTTCCTTTTCCTAGTCTCATAATCTACTTTCACCACAGCAGATTTCATTCTCCATGTAACAGCAGCAGCATCTTTGTACTTTGGATTCTGTTCTGTGGATTTTCCCATTTTTCTATGCTGTCTCTTTTTCTCCTTGCCGTGCTTGTCACGTAAGTTCTTGTTCTTTTTTCGTATAAAATTAATTAAGCTCTCATTACATTCCCTTCGCTGCTGCCAGTCTTTGACTGACACATCCAGTCTGCTCCCCTACTCCAGTCTTTTTCTGATCCTATACACTTGGGTCTGTCTGCTTTCCCCACCCCAGCATCTCTTACCCAGTTCTCCAGTTGAATATTTATTTTGATAACTTCTTATGCAAAGGTCTTCATCTGAAGAAACTCGGCAAAAAAAAATACACATCAGAGTATTCATCTCTGTCTGTATTCATAGGTGAGGTGTTTGCATCACTCACATGGTCACACACACTCTTCTCTGTTTTTTCCTGAACTTAGAGGACTTTGGATAGCTGTCTGTAATTCCTAGATGCAACTCAGTTAATTCTGAGCGGTGACTGAAGCCAGGATGCAGGACAGTTCTGTATGTGCCAAACCTGCTGCAGCCCGTGCTTTTTGCATGCACATGTGGAGTAAAGCAGACAGCTCCAGGCACAGTGGCCTTCCTGAACATCTTCAGTACTTGCTGGGCAAATTGATCTGCCTCAGTCTACTGCACATTCTGCACATGTGCAGTAAATTCAGTGTGCTGGGGACACATCAGACTGCAATCAACATCCCCTCCTATATATTATACATACATATTTTGTCTGTGATCTAGGGCCAACCTATGGGCTATTTCTGATCAGAACAGTCACCTTCATTAGATCATTCTCTTGGTCATTCTGCTTGTGGTGACCAAACTGGTGACCTTAGTGTGACGTTGTTTTCCTCTGGTTTTTGGCCTGTGCCTACTCTTAGAGTTGCCTTTGCCTTCTGCCCCGCAGGTGCACCTCTGTGAAGCCGATGGCCTGCAGTGTGATGTTGTGTTCCTCTGGTTTTTGACCTGTGCCTACTCTTAGAGTTGCTTTTGCCTTCTGCCTCGCAGGTGCACCTCTGTGAAGCCGATGGCCT